GAGCACGCCTCCCCCGCCCCGCCCCCTGTGAAGAGCGCCAGCAGCGTGGTGGCCCCAGGAGCTGGCAGCTGCACGCCCCTCGCTTATGACGTCCGTGGACTGATGCCTGGAGCTGTGCTGGGGCCGAGCCCTGGGCCAGCAGGCTCGTGCCGTGTTAGCCCTGCTGCTGGGGGGTGTGCGCAACCCAGGCGTGGCGGCCGTGGTACTGTCCGTGGAGGAGCACGTGGCCTGCCGTGGCGGTGCCCAGACCAGGGTTGGGCGTGCTGTTGGCTCTGAGAGGAGAGCCCTGGCTGGGACAGCTGAGCTGCCCACTCTTGGTCACGTGGCAGGCCCAGGCCTGGGCGGCAGAGGAGGCACAGAGGCGCCTGTCCTGGGCCCCTCCTTCCCCACGCATGACCCGGGGTCCCTAGGAGGGCCGATGCCTCACTCCTGGTTCCTGGACAGGGCAGTGTGGGCTGTGGGCAAGCCATGGGCCTTTCCTGACACAGAGCCCCTGGAGGTAGACAGAGCATCGAGAAATTGCAATTGCACGTCTGTCCTGGGCACTGCCATGCTTCGAGCGGTCTCCGAAATTCACGTGCCGGATTTGGCGAGCCACCACCGTGGAGTGGGGAAGGCGTGATTGGAGACGACGTTACACTGCGGCCTTTGGGAGGAGGTTAGGATCAGGTGGGCTGCGGCGGAATCCTGGTGGGCCTCGAAGGACTGGGGAGAGACTCGGACATGGACACCCTGCCTCAGCTCCTGCCCGCGGAGTGTCCTCAGCAAGGGCTCCCCGAGGTCCCCTGGACCTCCAACCTGTGAGCTGAATAAATCTCTGTTCTCTCAAGTGACCCGGAGCCAGGTGTCCTTTTGTCAGCAACAGAACTGTCTGGGGTACACGGGCAGACGGCCGCTGGGGACAGGGGCATGCGGGCAGATGGACAGCCACTGGGGACAGGGACACACGGGCGGACAGCCGCCGGGGACAGGAGCATGTGCATTTTAAGACAGGGAGTGCACCAGGGCTGAAGGAGGCCCATGACCAAGGAGCGCAACCATATGGTGACCTTGGAGTTCATGATGGTGGATGTTAGAGGGCCAGACAGCCTGTACACTCACACTGGAGATTCGAACACTCCTCTCTCGGTTCTGGGTGGAGAAAGCAGACAGAAAACTGTATTGGGTCCAGCAGGAGGCGTGGTGGTTAGGCACTGGACTCCCACATGTCCAACCTAGGTTCAAGTCCTGGACCTGGCACTCGCTTTCTCATGTCCCCTCTCTCTCTCTCTCTCTCTCTCTCTCTCTCTCATTAGTGCACATGCCCCATAGCAAATTAAAACACCGGGACCAGCGATGGAGTGATGGTTACACGGCTGGACTCCCATGGAGTCGACTGCAGTCCGACTCTGGACCCGGTGGCTTAAACTCACACCGGGCGTGTGTGCGTATGTGCCCAAGATCCTGAGAGGAGACTGGAGAAGGGACTGCGGTGTGGCCATTTCCCAGGGTTGATTTCTCACTTTCCATCTTTCTGTCTCTCTATCTCTCCAGCAAGCGCACGCACCCTAGATAGCAAAAATCTCTCTTAAAAAAAAATAATAATAGTGGGACCAGCAGTTGGCGTAATGGCTATGTCACTGGACTCCCATGTAGTCGACTGCGGTGGCTTAAACTCACACCGGGTGCGTGTGCGTGCGTGTCCAAGATCCCGAGAGGAGAATGGAGGAGAAGGGATTGTGGCGTGGCCATCCCCCCGGGGGGGGTGATTTCTCACTTTCTGTCTCTCTGTCTCTGTCTAGCGAGCGCCCGCACCCTATAGCAAAAACCTCTAAGAAAAAAAAGAATAAAAAATAATAATAGTAATGATCATGCTAAATAAAATTAAATTTAAAATTATTTTAAAGAAAAGAAAAGAAAAGTATGTGGAAGCCCCGTGGCACCCGTCCTGCCCCACCAGCTGCTGCTTGGGGTCACAGGAGGCAGCAGATGGCGCTGTTGTCCGCGTGACTGCCAGGGCAGCAAGGTGCAGTCCAGCGCAAAGACCCGGAGAGCCGTGGCCTCTGCCCTCGATGCACACATCGGAAACTAGACAGCCCCAGGCCCCGGGGGCTGCACGCGGCTCCGTAAGCTGGGTTCAAGGGGGGTACACAGAGGGGCTACCGGGCACTTCAACCCGAGTGAGGGAGAAAAAGCCATTGACCGGAATCTGGGAGATGCTGCGAGAAAATACTTGGGATTCACAGAACGTGCGTATCGGGGACCAGCAAATGGCGTAGTGTCTATGTCCTGGACTCCCATGTAGTTGACTGCGGTTCAAGTCCCGGACCCGGTGGCTTAAACTCACGCTGGGCACATGTGTGTGCGTGCCCAAGATCCCGAGAGGAGAATGGAGAAGAAGGAATTGCGGCGTGGCCATCCCCCCTAGGGGGGTGATTTCTTGCTTTCTGTCTCTCTGTTTCTCTGTCTGGCAAGCACACACGCCCTATAGCAAAAACCTCTTAAAAGAAAGAATATGCGTGGTGCGTAGCGCGTGCTGGAAAAGGAGGAAGATCTGTAACCCGTCTCTAAACTTCTCCTTGGGAAGCCTGAAAGCAGAGCAGCTAGAACCCAGGGGTGAGAAAAGGGTGTAAAACAGACCGGGAGCCGGCAGGAATGAGCCGACGGGAGGTGGCAGGGGGGAGCCGCGGGGAGCCGGCAGGGTCGAGCCATGGGGAGGCAGCGTGGGCAGGTTTTGTCCTCTTGAGGTGAAAAGACTGAGGCGTCTTACAGACTGCTCCGTGGAGGGGAGGGCCGCCCCCGAGCCTGGAGTGCAGGGATCTCACGGGGGACGGTGGAGGGGTGTTAGAGCCGTGTCAGGCCTGCACACTCACAGCTGGACGGAGGGAGGCCCGGGGCAACACAGCGCCGAACGTGCAAAGGGGGTCTGACGAGCTCAGGGTGCCGCCGGCTCCGCGGCCAGCGCTGGAGGCCGCGGTTCCCACGTGACCTGTGCACACAAGGTCCTGCCCTCAGTGGTGGAGAAACGAGCGGGCACGCGTGTGCACATGAGTGTGTGTGCATGCGTGCCCGAGGTCCCGAGGGAGGGAGGGATGGAGGAAGACTGGGGTGACCACCCCCCAACGGGCTGTACTCTCCCTCTCTCCCTCTCTCCCTGTCTCCCTCTCTCCCCCTCTCCCCCTGTCTCTCTCTCCCTCTCTCGCCCTCTCTCCCCCTCTCCCCCCCTCTCTCTCCCTGTCTTCCTCTCTCCCTCTCTCCCTCTCTCCCTCTCTCCCTCTCTCCCTCTCTCCCTCCGGAGAATAGCGTGCCCTCAGGAATGAGAAATAAAGACAGCACTAAGAAGCAGGGAAGCCCGAGCGAGCGACATGACACATGGCCGACAGTACCTGTGACTCACAGAGCGATCGTAGTCACAGGAAAAGGCCTGGCGCTTTAACAGCGGGGCTGCACCTCCCCGAGGAGAGCACCCAAGTGCCCACCAGCCTGAGAGCTGCCGGTGCCACTTGCTAAGGCTTGGACAGCTCCTGTGGGTGGGACCAAGCTCAGGGCAGCTGTGCCACTGGGCAGGCCTTGAGAGGGCTTGATCACCAGGGCGCTGCGCTCTTGAACGGGGGAAGTCCCCATCTCCAGGGTGGATTGGGTATGAGTGTGTCGGGGCCAGTGGGTGGCGTGGTGGCTAAGCAGCAGATCCCACATGGCCTACTACACAGCACAAATCCCAGAGCCGACAGCATGCCCCAGATCCCTAGAGAGCGGAGTAGGGATTGTGGCACGGCCACCTCTCCTGGGAGGTGCTGTCTCACTGTCTCTCTCCGTGTCTCTCTCGGGCGAGAACACACACTCTACAGGAAAAAAAAAAGCATGTCTGGCCTCGGTTTGCTCTCCTGCTCACGCTGTCCTGTGTTTGGTCACGGCATGGCACTAGAAGGCCCCCCAGCAATGCTGGCACCTCCGTGCCAGCCTTCCCAGCCTCTGGCACCGCCAGCCGAAGTCCCAGGCTTGGGCGCTCTGGAGACAGGCTGAAACGTGGGCGGTGGCCGAGTGCATGTCACAGCTGGTAGGAAGGCTGCGCCGGCAGTGGCAGGGGCTCGGAGCCCTGGAGCGCTCCGACGTGGACGCAGGGGTGGGAGCGAAAACGGTGCCCCTGCAGAGTCCCACGCAGCACCCTGGAAAGGTGGGCTGCCCAGAACCCGCATCCTCCTGGTGACTTACCCGAAGGATGCGGACACATGCACACAGACCCTTGGAGAAGGCTCGGGGGCCTGACAGCCCAGCCTGCAGACAACCCGGAGTCTGTCCCAGACGAGGGAGCAGGCTGCCGCCATGGCGGCAGCCAGGTGCCAGGGCAGCATCCATACAGGTGGCCGTCAGGGCCGGAGGCAGCACGGCAGAGCTGTGTGTGCTGTGAGCTGCGCCGATGTGGCACACACCAGTGGTCTTTGGGGGCTTCCCGGGCTGCGGGTGCCGTCACCACACCCTGGTCCCAGTGCCACACCCAGACACTCTAAGACCTGGCCCACAGGGCACCCCCACACCGTGGGACTGACCCGAGACGAGAGCACTCCAGGACGACACGAGGCCATGCCCTCAGACCCCAGGTGCAGCGAGGGGACCTCTGCACCCCACTTCGGACCCCTAACTGCTGCCTTGGCTGAGCCGCACCCTCACCGCCTGGGAGCTTTGTAACCAGGACATCCCCCCCCACCCCCCGCCTCAGCCTTCCTGCCCAGTCCTCAGTGGCCCTAGGGAGACCCCAAAGGAAAGCAGGCAGGTCTTCCCCATGGAGGCCGGCACACAGCCCACGGACCCCAGTGCAGGCCTGTCCCTTCAGTACAGCCGGGCACAGATGTGCGGGAGGCAGAGCCCCCAGCAGCCAGGAGGAGAGGCAGGCAGAAATGGGGCTGCTCACCCCTGCCAGGGCAGGGCTGGAGCCCGGTGGGCCGAGTGCGGAGGGGGCTCAAGGAGAGTCTGGGCAAATTGGGGCCAGACTGCGCAGGGCTGTGGGGACCACCTGCAAACAGCCTTGCCCAGACAGAGCCCCATCTTGGCGCGGTTCCCAGAAGCAGATGCTGAGACAGGAGTTCCAGGAGGTGTCTGAGAGGCGGCCCCAGGCCATCGGTGTCCGGCGAAGGGTCCCTGTGCACCACTGTCGACCCCCGGCTCTGACTTTGCCGAGCAGCTGGCTCACCCTTACATGGAGGAGAGGTGACTGACAGCCTTTTATTGTTCCCAGAGGGCTGTGACAGCACGGTCCGCGCCCAGAGGGCCTTTCCCAGGGGTCCCGCCTGAGGGGGACGGCCGCCCACCCAGCAGCTCTGCCCCTGCTTGTGCCAGGCTCCGCCCCAGTCCTTGGCCTTGCAGCCTGCCTGCTCAGGCCACCCGGGGTCACAGCTTGCTCCGCGGGCAGTGCTGCAGGGCCTCCCTCAGCGCGTCGCTCACACGGTCCACGTTCTCACGGGTGGCGTTGCAGCCCAGCAGGCCGATCCGCAGCACCTGGGCAGAGGCCGGGCAGTGCTCAGCCCATCCGAGGGGGTGGCAGGAGCTGTGGCTCACTGCGTGGAGGCCACCCGGCACCCCATGCACGAGGGGCACTCCCACAGGGACCCCGGCCAGAAACACTACCCTCCTCCAGCCTGTGGTGCTTTGAGGAGCTGGGGGGCAGGTGCCGGGGACCCCCAGCCTGGCTTGCCAGGTCACGTGGAGGGAGGACGGGCATTCTGGTGGGTGCAGTCAGGCCTTGTCTGGTGAGCTCCCCGAGCTGGGGCATGGAGCTCCTGCTGGGCACCCCAAGGTCCTGCCCATGGCCCCAGGTTGGTGGGCTGGGGTGTGAGGGGCCATGCGGGGCTTCCTCTCACCTTGCCCAGGGAGGGCCCAAGGCCGCCCGTGACCTCGATGTTGAAATGGTCTATTAAGTAGCTGACGATGTCCCTCCAGTCATAGCCAGCAGGCACAGCCACGGTGGTGACTGTGGGCAGCCGGAGTGCCTGCAGCAAGGGCCTGGCTCAGCCGCCTGGGGCACCACCCAGGACAGCGACAGCCCGAGTAGCCTCCCCGGCCTCCCATCCTGGCCTCCACTCCTCTCCAGGTGAGAGTGGGGTTCCGGCCCAGAGCCCACCTCACAGGGTGCTGGGGCAGGTGCGGGGCAGCCAGGCACCCTGGTCTCTCCCAGGCCCTTCTCCTCAGGCTGTCCCATCCCCTCGGGAGGGCAGCGGGAGCTTCTGTCCCTCCTGAGACCCACACCTCTCAGGACGGCCTGTGCTCTCTTCTCTGGCTGGACTCGGGCACACCGGCTCCCTCAGCCCTCCCAACTCCCACCCCCTGGAGGTGATCTCTATGGGGGGGTGGTTCCCCAGACTGAGCCCAGGGAAGGGCCACCCTGAGGCGCAGCACCTGAGGCCACGAGCCGGGCCCTCCGCACACCCCCCAGCCCCTCACCGGGTCCTTCACGAAGAGCTGAAGCCCCAGCCCCTGCAGGCGCTCGTGCAGGTGCGTCATGGCCTCCCGGTGCTGCCGCCAGCTCGTCTCCAGGCCCTGCGGGGCAGCGGGCCAGCAGGCGCAGGTGTGGGCGTGGGTGGCGCATGGGCTCCGAGGTGGGTCGGCCCCCACGGCTGCCCTGGGCCTGCTCCCTCCTCACCTTCTCCGCTATGAGGGCCAGGCCCTCCCTCAGGGCATACAAGCCGATGACCGGGGTGGTGTGGTGGTACCTGGGAGGCAGGAGGGGGTGGTCCAGAGCTGGTAGGGCCGGGCAGGGCTGGGCTGTCTCAGCCCAACAGCAGGGCTCTCCGAGCTCGGCCAGCCCTGCCCGAGGGCCCTGCCCAGCTCAGAACTAGACGCAGATGGAAGGACGACGAGGTCTCAGGGGAGCGTGGCCCAGAGGGAGGCCGAGGGTGCTGGCTGCCCCCACCCCTAAGGCCCCCGGAGACCCCACTGTCTCAGTGAGGCCGGCACTGGGCCCTCTGGGCCACTGGGCTAGGGTACAGTTCTCGGCACTCTATCCCTGTACACACGGGGGCCTTGGGGTTGCTGCCAGGGTCGCCTCCCCGAGCCCTGGTTTGCCCTCTCCTGGTGGGCAAACTGACTTGGGGAGTGGGCACGCCAGGACTCCCGGGGGACTGCGGTGGAGGGCCGGGCCTCTGGACCCACGCCTCCAGGTCGAGAGAGAAACAGAGACCCCAGGGCCCCTCTGATGGCCTGGCATGGGTGGACCCCGGGGCCCTGGTCAGGTGTGTGGGCACGGAGTGGGGCTCAGAGCCCGCGGGCTGAACAGGCCCCCGGGGGCGTGAGAGGCCAGCGCCCAGCCCGCCCTCACATCCTGGGCTGGTCGTCACAGCCCCAGAAGTTGGCCAGCCACTTGATGTCCAGGTAGAAGGAGACCGGCTTCGTCTTCCGAGAGTAGATCTTCTTTCTGGGGAGGAGGGCCGGCCTGAGCACAGGGGGCCCTGCCCTGAGGAGCCGGCGGGTGGGGCGAGGCGAGGCAGCCTGGCCCTGGGTCTGGGCTGTGCTGGTCCCCACCTCCCGTCCCTTCCATGTACTCCTCTTTCCTCAGCTCGGCGAAGGCCACCCCCCCTCAGAGCCGTCGGCACGGCAGGCGGGGGTCGCTCTGGCTGAGCGGAGTCTGCCACACCCTGGGCTTAGGCTCAGGGGTGCAGTTGCAGCCTCCAGGGGCCGGCCCTGCCCCACACCCCCGCTGCCCTCGCGGCCCCACTGTCCGCTGCCCCGTCCCCTCCAGCTTGACTTTCTAGCCTGTGCTCAGGCAGGGCCGGAGCCCAGGAACACCAGCCGGTCTCCTGTCTTCCCCAACAGCTCCTCCTCGGCCAGCGTGCCCGCACCCTAGCCCAGGCCAGCACCTCCACGCCACCTCCCTCTCCGTCAGTCCTGGCACTCCCTCTTCCTGCCTCACCCACAATCGCCCATCCCCACTTGCAGATGGTGGCACCTGCCATCCCCTCCCCACACAAGGCTGGCTCCAGCTCTGGGTGCCAGGGACACCAAGTGACAGCAGGAGAAGGTGGAAGCGGGAACACCAGACTCCAAGGCCCTGCCCCACGGCCCGGTCCTGAGGCCGTGCTCTCTGCAGAGTGCTGGCTGCCGGGGCCCGCCCCCACCCGGGCCCCCTGAGCCCGAGGCCGTCCAGCCCTGCGTCGGGCCCGAGTGCGGCTGTGGCCACTCACTTGGCCTCTTCGCTGAATGAGATGAGCGCAGTCCCGGGAGGGGCGTTCAGGACCTTCTGGGAGCCCGAGTACAGGACGTCGATGCCTGTGGGGGCCAGGAGGACGGCTGTGCCTGGCAGGTGCCCCTGGCGCTGGGGGCTGAGAGCCCACTGACAGCACGTGGGCCACAGAGGGGGATGGATGCTGTCGCAACCCAGGCCTGAGCCACCCCGTGGTGGGAGGACCCATGGCTGCCCAGGGCCGTGTCAGAGGGGCAGTTTGAGGGTTACCCCGGAAGTCTCTCCTGTCACTGTCTGGAGCCCCCGCCGGGATTCTGCAGAAGGTCCAGTGGCAGGCAGTACCAGGTGGATGGGGGTCTCCCTCCCTGTGGGAGGCCTGGACCCGCCCAGCCTGCTGATTGGCTGCAGGTGACCCCTCTGTGTACAGTGGGGGTTGGGGTCCCTGTACTCTCAGGGTCTCTCGGATGCTCCCCCTGGAAGGCCGCTCCCCCCTAAGCCTGCCCTGCCATGTGGGGCCTGGAGTCCCGGGGTTGTCCCAGAGCTGCCCCTGATGGCAGCCTGGGGAACTGGTGGCACCTTCGGCAAGGGCCTTGCCGGGGTCCCAGCCAGGCTGTGAGGGCCCTTACCTTGCTGGTCCATGAAGATGGGGACCCCGCCAAGGGAGGCCACAGCATCCACTAGGAGCAGGCACCTATACCTGAGGATGGAGCAGGGGCGCCTTTAGGGGTGGGCCAGGAGCAGGGCGTCCCCTCCACAGGGCTTCCCCCTGAGCTGTCTGGCCCTGACAAGCCCTGGCCACAGGTTTCCCCACAGGTGTGCTAAGGGTTGGGGGGCCCTTAGTGCTGAGGCGTGTGGGCTTCAGGGACCAGGGAGGGCATTAGGCTGGGCCCAGAAGGGCCCAGAGAGGACAGAGCCCAAAACCGGCCCAAGCAGTGACCTGCAAACGCCTGAGGCCCACCCCCGCCCTGCCCCACCCTGCTTGGGGCCCAGGGCACTCAGGACGCCTCCCACGTGGGTAGGCTGTGGAGGGCCCTGTCTGCCTGCCTCCAGGACCCCGTGGCCCACCTGCAGTAGAGCCCCCATCTGTGCAGGGACCACAGCCCCACTGAGGCCCCATCCCCACCTGCAGCAGAGCCCCCATCTGTGCAAGGGCCGCAGCCTCACTGAGCCCCCATCCCCACCTGCAGCAGAGCCCCCATCTGTGCAGGGGCCATGGTCCCACTGAGCCCCCCACCCCCTCACCTGTGGCAGAGCTCCCCATAGCCGTCCAGGGGCTGCAGCACGCCACTGGACGACTCCCCGTGGGTCAGGAACAGCAGCACCGGCTTGTGCTTGGCCAAGCCCTGGGGCAGAGGCTGCAGCTGTGGGCAGAGCTGACGGCTCCCCTGGAGCCAGCCCTCCCAGGGGTTTCTGCTGGGGAGGGCAAGGCCAGGATGCCCACGAACCCCACCCCATAGATAGTGAGATCTGGGCTGTGGCACCTGACACGCTTCCCTCCCGGTCGTGCTGGCTGGGGCACACGGTGGGTGGGGGCAGTGTCCCGGACGGCAGCGTCCGTCCAGAGCAAAGGAGAGTGGCCCAGCCCCTCCCCATCCTGCCCAAGGTCAGCACAGGACCTCTGTCAGGCTGGTCCTGCCGTGGAGGTGTGGGGTTCAGGGCACCACCTGCAGGCCCAGCATCCTGCACCTATGCCCTGCTGCAGGACTGGCTCCCACCGCGGTTTCCCTCCAGGCTACTCCCTGCTCCCGGCAGGACCCTCTGCAGCCGACGTACCTCCTCCACCTCCTGCAGGGTGTAGTGGCTGCCGGGCTCCTTGACCATTGGGTGCACATGGGCTCCTGGGGCAGGGCGGGGCGGGACGGAGGGGTGAGACAGTCCCGGCACCGGGTGCCAGAGCTGGGACCACATCTGCTCTGAGGGGTGGCCCTGGGAGGGCAGGTCCCCACTCTGCACGTGTGCCCTGCTGGCCCTGTACTGCCGGACTGAAGAGGATGGTGAGGCGGCCCCCGGGAGCACGCCTGAGTGCAGCCAGTGCCGCCCTGGCCTCCTCCCAGGGCCTCCTGGTCCGCCCGGCTGGCAGCAGCCTCAGGTTCAGCCCAGGCTCCTGAGCCCACCTGGGCTGGGACTGTCCCGGCCCGCTGTGTCACTATCACACAGATTAGGACCAGAGGGTGGGTTCCTGAACAGTGGGGCCGCGCCCGGCCCAAGACTGGCCCTGGCCTGGGACCAGCAGTCTCGACTTAGAGCCTGGTGCCCCTGAGTGCCCTCGAAAACTGTGTGGGCTGAAGGGACCAGGTGGTTGGGACCCTCGCGGGCCGCCAGGAGATGTCCACTCGCCAGCCTGGCTTTGAGCTGACCACTCAGGCTGCTGCCAGGGGCCACTGTCACTGACCCCATGCTGTGTTCGCCTCTCATCGGGAAATTTTACGAAAGCCTGTCCAAGCTTCAAACAAAAATGGCTCCAGAACAGAGGCTGTTTCTGAGGTTTGGGGGGAAGGCCCCTCCTCTGAAACGCCCCCCATCACAGACAGAGCTGGTGCCTGGGAACACACCTCCTGGCGATGGGCTCTGGACACAGCCACCCTGTAGTCTGAGACCGAGCACCTAACAGGGTCTAGTCCCCGTGAGCACCCCGGCTCCTGCCTGGAGGAGGCTACATGCTAGCAATAGTGGTTGCAGAAAGGGTCACATGAGGGACAGGGTAGGGCTCAGGGACTGCCAGAGGGAGGAGGGGAGGGAAGGAGCTGCCCAGAGTCTCGCTGGAGCTAGGACGGGCCTCAGGAACACAGAGCCACGCGACGCTTCTCCCTTACCCACGCGCTCCCCGATTTCCACAGCCCGCTGCCCCCAGATGCCGTTGACCCCAACCAGGAAGGAGTCGCCGGGCTCCAGGAGGTTGCACAGGGCAGCTTCCAGGACGCAGTGGCCGCTGATGGCCAGCGTCAGGGGGTTCCTGGTCTGGAACACGTACTGGATCCCTTGCTTGATCTCGTCCATGATCTGCAAAGGGGTGGCACCGCTCAGACCCGCCCTCCTCGGGACAGCGGTGCCCCCCGCGTGCACCCACCTGGTACATCTCCTTGTGCATGTGCCCGATCATCTGCAGGCCCCCCGCCGCCAGGACCCGAGGGGCCAGGTTCGAGGGCCCAGGCCCAAGCAGCAGCCGGCTGGGGACCGAGAGGGGCCCGAGCAGGCGCTGCGGCGGGGGCACCCGCAGCTGGTGGGAGGCCATGGTCCGCACCCGCCCGGCCACCCGCGGGCCCAGGGCTGCAGTGGCTTTGGCCAGCGCCGGGAGCATTGCGCTGCCCACGCGGACAGAGAGCGGCCGTTCGATGGTGCCCCTGGAGCCTGGTCGATGTTGAACCCTCGGGGAGGAGGACCCGCTGCAGCCAGTCAGAGGGACAGAGCAGGCCGCCGCCCTCCACCTTGCGCCCTGCCTCTCCTCAGCACTCCTGCTCCCCAGGGGCAGAACGCACTCTCCCTCTCCGAGGGTCAGAGGGCACTTGGCCGGTGGTCTGTGTCGCAACAACTACACCCGCTCGCTCCGGGGAACCAGGGGGCACTGGCTGTCGGCCAGAGAACGCTACTGACGGAACGTGGGCGGGTCAGCGCCTCCAGGCTGGCTACAGGAAGCAGGGACAGTGATGTGCCCACACGTGCATAGACACACACACGTCAGCACACACTACGCGTGTAGACACACAGTCGTTCATGCTAACTCAGACACTCACATGCTCCCAGGCTAATAGTGACACGCCCACAGCTCAGCACACTACAGACACAGTGACACACTCACACCCACACGCCAGCACACAGGCACACTGCAGACACAGTCACACACTCACACCCACACGCCAGCACACGGGCACACTGCAGACACAGTCACACACTCACACCCACACGCGCTTTCGCGGTCAGCTTCACACAGGCACATGTAGAC